GTATCTGTGTACATCTGTTGAAAGCTGCTGTCAACGATGTGAATTTCTCCTTGTGAGATAAATAAAGGCATATCTTATCTTATCTTATCTTATCTTCATTTATTAAAATGTGGTCTGGTGAGTAACATAATTCTTGTGTTTACCTTCCTGGTGGCAAAAGGCTCAGATATGGAAAATAAAACTAAATGCATGACTGGAAACTGTGTGAGGTATGCCAGTTTTTTTTTTTTTTTTAAAGTACTCTGTAAATGAGCCTTCCCACAGTATTACATAAATGAAACCTGCTGTCACATCACACGGCTCCAGGGAAACCAAACTCACCGCAGTCGTCTCCTCCGAGGTCCCACACCTGCAGGTTGGAGCTCAGCCCATCGTTGGTCACAACACACCTGTGGGAACAAAGTTAAATAAAATGAATCAACTGAGGGAATACAAAATATCTGCAAACCGGCTGAGCTGTGTGTTGATGAGAAGCTGTCGATAAGCTGTGCAGCTACAGCATCATATCTGGTGTTGCCATTAGAACCGATATGTAAGCAGATGGTGACGCAGAAAACAGCACAAAATCCATTTTATATCGCGGGTACCACATCCAGTCGTGTATTCATTTCCTTACATTAAAGAAAAGGCAAAATTCACGACAGTCACTCAAATAACTAAAAAGTTATTACTTAAAAAGTAATAATAAATAAAAATTTGCTAAATTATAAGTTAGTGAAATGAGACATTGCTTTTGAATTGTGGGTGAAAGAATAATTAAAAAAAAAAAAAAAAAAAACTGTCCCAGATAAATTAGAGCACTTTGCTGATGAGCAGTGAAATCCAAACACCTGTCAACAGGTGCAGAAGTCTGATGGAGAGTTACAGAAAACACTGGATAGCAGTGACTGGCTCAAAGGGTTGTTCAACAAGATAGTTAGATAGTTTACGGATCCCATCATGCTTGAGTTTTGTTTTTGTTTTTTTAAAATATATTTCTGTTGAACCACAATTCAAAAGCAACGTCATGATTTTCATTACAATTTTAGTTATCATTACTTTTGTCAATTTTAAACTTCTTTCATCTGTTTATTTACTTCTCTAATGGGAGGTATGAATACATTTGAGGACGACTAGAACACAGATTACAAAGTTGATTTGTTTGCTGGTTTTACAGAGAATATTCAATCAAGAACATTCATGTCTCTTTGATCGTGTCCTTCATTACGGGACAATGTCAGAACCAAACACACTTCTTCAATGTCATGTTTGAATGAATGACTTTAAAAGCTCAAAAGTTTTGATTTGCAGCTGTTCGAAATAGGCAGCGACATGAAGAGTGTGCTAAGCGGTAAAATAAAAAGTACATTAACTTATCAACAGTATTTCACCAGCATTCCTCTCTTGCATCACTTTGCCATAAAAATAACTTTGAGCGTCTTCTGCAGGGCTGTGTGCTTTATTTGCTGTTTAGTTTATATATATGTTCTTCCTTTACATCATGTTTCCTTTCTTTCATGTCTTTGTTCCTTGGTCTAGTCTATTTATTTTACTCAAGTAAATCCTACAAAAGAAAAACCTTTGAAAGTAAAGTTTTTTTCTGCAAGAAAATACATCACAGGCTCAGACATCAATGGAAAGAGGAGAAACTGCAGGTAATTCAAATGAAGCGTCTCCCCGGCGCGTGTCAGAACTCACCTCGTTCCTGGGATGTGCTTGAGGCAGCGAACGGGGCGGTCGCTGAAACCACCGTGGGCGACTTTGAAATCCCGTTCGGCGCAGAGACCCTGAACACAACAACACAGACAACAAAAGCTCAGAGAGACATCTGGATTGCCTGTTCATGAAAGATGAAACTAACTTTGGACGACTGTGACGGTTTCTACCTTATTTTCATCGGCAAAAAGTTTCAGCGGCAAACGAAGCTCCAGAATTTCATTTTTGGACAGACTGTAGCCGGCGACACAGACGGCTGCGAACACAACAAACACTGATGAGAACAAACTGCTCGATCAACAAACAAAAGCCTGGAAATCTGGATGTCATGCTGAGGAACGGTGGGTGTCCAATGCCAAAAAGCTACGAGTTTGTCTCCTCTTATGCAAGGTCTGCAACACAATCAATAGTGTTGTATTGTGTTTCTGGTTGCTGACCAGTGATTCAGCTGCTATTTTGGAGAGGCGACTGCAGAGTCTTTGTCTTGTGTTTTACAAATGTGCACCTTTTTATGTTCCCATCACAAACAACGTAGAGCACAAACACAAAGAGACTTAATGTTACCATCAGAAAAAGCAACAGCATAGTTGTTTTCCTGTGGCTGGTGGCTGTGTGAATGCTATTTTTTAACCTCACAGAGGCTGAGCTGTATCGTGATAAAGTTCAACAGCACTGCACCGAGCAGATACTGAAGAAGGAAAAATAACTAGATGCACAGAATAAAAACAAGCAGACTGGAATAATAAAGCACATTAAGAACAGGTTAAGACATAAAACAATACTATAAAAGAAGGCCTTGTGATAAAAATAAGCTTTCATGTGTGTTTGATCACACTGCTAATATAAGATCCTCTGGGGAGGAATCCCACAGTTTAGGGCCACAAACAGCAAAGACTTGATCTGTTCTGGTCACAAGGTGAGAATCAGAAACAGTCAGAAGGTTCCTCCCAAAGGATCTCAAACCACCATCAGGCTCATAAGGAGTTCAAACATCAGTAATGTAAAAAAAAAAACCCAAAAAAGTGCGTTTCAAAACAACGAAGGAAGAAGAATCACAGCAGTTCCAACAGGGTCCTTGTACTGTTCGTGCTCGGACCCTAATTAGGTGGAAGACGAGCTCTGGCTGCTAGCTGCTCAGACCCAAGTCATTATATTTACAAAGAAAATACAGGAGTCGGTCCACCAGCTCTCCTTGGTCCCCCAATAGTAAGCGATAAAGGAAATTCATCAAAAAAAAAAAACAAGAATTCAGTATAATAAGAAAAAAAGTTTTGTTAACTGGGGTACCATTTGAAGCATAAATGGAGCTTCAGTTCAGACAAGCAGGGCGTCACAAGGCCCTTTATCTGTCCATTCATTCACTACTTAAGTCCAGCCCACCCACTTAGCGTGCTTTATAACCGAGGCAGCGTTCATTCATTCTGCCCACTCCGCGCTCACCACATCGCTGCTACACATCCACAAACCTCACCCTCCTCCTCCCCAACCTGCTCCTTTTCAAAGGTTTACCATTTCAGCAGCATCTATACAAGCTGTCTTCTAACAGGCAGTGTATCATAACAAGACTGGAGGAGGGTTTATGTGTTACACTGTCACAGGTTGTCACTGATGATGATATTACATCTAAAAACATCCACTTACTCTTCCCTGACGTCCACTCAATGACCTGGGTGGGATGTTCCAGCTGATACACATGAAGATCTTTGTACCTGAATAAACCAGACAGCTGTTAGTTTCTCCACGGATACCAGTCCCAGCCGAATACAGATTCAAAAACATGCAGTAAAGCAACAGAGGTCAAGATGCTACAAGGTTGTGTCCTAAAGCTCCTCTCAGATTAAGAAGGGAATGGAAACTATTTAGAGGTTACTTTGCCTTTAGTCATTAAGTAAAACTCATTTAACATTCCTTGATTGCTCTCTGAATGTGTGGCTATTACTGGGTACTAATTCGTGATGTTTATTTTCACACGCTTTAAGGTGTTTTTTTTTCTCCCCAGTATTTAAACCTTAGAACCAGACTCCATAGAGAAATTTTGATATTTAAAATGTTACGTCTCAAGGGTCATTGCACATGTCTATATTGTGGAATATGATTCAACTTCTATAATCCTTTGACTATGTAAATTTGTTCGTCTTGAATATAATGCTTAAGTTCACAAAGTTAATTTTGTAATCAGTGCTATTAAGTAGTAATGCACCGTAGTTTACTTTGGAGGTGTAGCGGCTGAAGTTAAACTAACTGGCATTTAAGCGACGTTGTTGTTGCTTGCTGTAATATGAGCAAGCCGAATTTATAATGACTAAACTTAATACAAAAAATGATTTGTTGTTGTATTTCTAATCATTCTAAGCTTGCTTGTGAGTAAAATTGTGCAATTTCTAAGCGGGGTTCGCTTTGAAAGGCTAGCTTGCAGCTAGCATAAAAACATGGCGGCTTAAACGAACAGTAAAAAGTTTGCTCACGTTTTCAGAGACTCGATAAACCAGTCATCTAAAATATCATCGAACTCTGTATCTTCCATCTCTCACATCAGCTCACGTTGCTGCAGGCATGAAGTTGTTGATGCACCGGCTTGTCTTCAACTTCCGCTATTTTTAATTCTGCAGTTTCTCGGGTTGTTTTTAAACGACTGTTTAAAGTCTACGGCGCCACCTGCTGGACAGGAGGCTCTAGTGGTTTACAGCGGAGCCCGGTTAGAGTCAGATGTGGATTTTAGAGTTGACATATAAACAGAGACAGGCTCTCAAAGTTTATTTCTGGCTTTAGTGCAGATTTAAAAAAAGAAAAAAAATAATCCTTGTTATAAAAAAGATACATTAAGATGTTTATTAATTATGGTGCTTATTTTTACTTATATTCTGCTCTTGTTTTTGTTGTTCCTGTTTTTTTGCTTATTGTACTTATTATTTGTTTATTGTACTTTTTACTTGTTTATTGTACTTACTATTTTTTAGGCTTTTTCTTTAAAAACCAGGACCTGAGTGCTTGTTTCGTGCCACAGCATGTGAACGTGAGCTGGCATGACAAATAAATAAAGTTTCTTGAATCCTCACACTGTAAAACAACAGAGGAACTGAGTTGACTCAACAAACCTATGCTCGTAAATATAAATATAGAAGCTAATTGAATTTTCAATGCCTATTTTAATCATTTTAGACGATTCGAGAAGTTGTTAAAAAAAAAATAAAACATGCGAGTTCACCCAACTAATTAAGACTTTTAAAGAAACCAATAGCATTTTAGCAGACTTCATGCATGGATAGTTACAACAGACACTATTCGTTTAATAAATTGGGTGGGGGAAATGGGAACTGCCTATATTTAAAATATTTTAAATCACATTCTGGTTATATATACTTATTATTTACAATTCCTCTGTGTAGTTTTATATATGAGGATATGGTCACTCAGTGTCGGCGTCATCGTGGATTCAAAGAATAAAACATAAAAAGTTGAAAAAATGTGCAAAGAAAGTTGAGGGAGGAGGTCATGACCCATAGCATTAATGAATCATGGCATCTCCAAGGTAATAGGCGGAATATTAAATCAAAACGACCGGTCGGGTGTGAAGGTGTGCCTGGTTATTCTGGTAGCATTTGGATGTGCTTTAATGAAGGTCAGCTCAGTGGGAAGTTACGCATAAAGTCACTGCACTGACGGCAGATTTATCAACGTGCGGGTCCTCAAATGGCTGCAGAGACTTAATTAACTGAGGGAGAAGCATTTCATACGATATAAAGCAGCTCTGGTAAACAGATCCCTTGGCACTGCCCTGAGTGAATGAACCTCCCACATGTTTGTTTGTCTCCCTCCACCCACTGTACTCTGAGCTTGGCACCAAGACGGGCAGATTCGAGTTCATTTGAATACCAACAACATCGAATGATTCCAGGATGGAGCCATCTCTCACTCTCACTTGCATATTTACTGGGTAAGACTGTATCTGCTCAACCTTCTCTATACAAAAGAGTAAAAGCAACCTTAGAGTGAAGGTTTTTATGATTTCAAAAGTGTAATAAAATGAACCCCCCAGAAGGAAGACGCTCTAAAAATGGACATCATGTTTTGGGAACTATTTGGTGTTGGTGTCGTTTGTAGTTAAAGGATGAAATATTCAAAGCATCACTGCAGGCCTTTATGATTTCTTCCGGACAGACTGGTGACAACAGCTGAAAACTTCCCACGATGTGCAGCGCTCTGCTACTCCTGCTGTTGTTTTCCTCCTCCTCTTCAGCAGCCCTGTCGCTCTGTTCTTCCTGCTGTCTGACAGGAGATGGACTGAGTCACATTTCTGTCACTCTGTCTTCCTCTCTCAGCCTATCACTCCTTTGAAAAAGTAAACAAAAAATCCAGCTGGGAGTCAGTGTGACAGCATGCAAACTAATGCATGTATGCAGTGCTGCAGCGACTGTTTAAATCAGCATGTAAACTACTAAATATTTCAAATGTCTGAATCCTTCCTCTACAGTGTTATGATTTGCTGCTGTCACTTCGGTTTCCAGCAGACACACAAACACAAGCTAAACAAATTGTCATCAATCATTTTTCACTTAAATTATCCGTGTTGCAGCTTTAACAGATCTTTTTTGCCACTACAATACTACTTAAATTTTTTTTAAGTACTTTATCAAAGGACCAATGTTCGTCTGTCGATGCAACAAGGACCATCTAGTCATCCTGGGGTCGAGGTAAAAGGGATGGGATTGGGATGATAGATGACTTGCGCGATGAAAACTTTGTTAAAAGTGAAGAAGAGTTGTGCACTGTAGACCTCACTCTCTCGTCCGAGACCATCTAGATCCAGCGGCAAGACGACTGGAGACAGAAACAAATGCAGTGGATGACCAAGATGTCCTTTCATGCCTCATCTTGCCCTGTGCACTCCACAGCGCCTTGCGGTAACTGCCTTCTTCTCCGTTGAACCAATCTGGTGGTTTCATCTGCAGAATCTGCCGGAGTCCAGTCTTCGTATGCGTAGGTAGGTAAGCCCTAACTCACCGAGGGTTTGAGACCCGTCACCCCACTTGGTCTTGCCGGCCAGTCGAATCCGTTGCCCAGGGTGTGGCCACTGTTGCATACAAACAGCTACTTGGAGCCACAAGTGAGAGCTGGGTGCAGGTGGGGACCAAAGCGGAACCAACTACTCCGAGGAGTACAACTGTTGCCCCTTCAGAGGTATTACCCCTCCCATACACTAAGAACCACTAGGGAATGCTATTCTATTACATTAACATTAAAGATAATGCAATAAATAAAAAAGATAGCATTAACGTGCCCAAATTATAAATCCTCAAACCCTCTTTGTGGTAACTTCTTTACTCGATTACCCCCCCTTGGTATGGAACCACCTTAATGCCAATAAAGCCGTAAAACATTACAGCCGGAGACGCCTCATCATGACTCCTGACGGCACGTTTATATCAACCGATTTGACTTTTTAGACGATGTTTTCTTTTGCCAAGATAAAGCAAACTGAAGGGATATTTGAATTACACGGGCGATAAAAGCGGTTTGAAAAGATAGACGTGATTCTGCCTTGGACAAAACTACGCAGACTTGAATGAACAAATAATAATGACAAGGAAACAGGAGCGACGTTGGTGGCGGGTAGGTGCCACGTCGCAGCATTTATTAGAAGCTAAACCCTTTACAGGCAGAGGAATGACAGTAGATGGATTATAATCATACTTTCATACGGCAGTGACGTGTTTTTGTCTCTGGGTGTGGAGGTACAGAAGATGTCAGAGCACCACTGTGTGAAGTAGTCGCTGCATAGTCCCAGTCTGGGGGTGTCATCACATCATCACACATGGGTGACTGATCGATGCGGTGGCTTGATTGGTGGGTGTACAATTAGGTGAAGTGCTCTCCTTTTGGTTCGAGCATGTGGATTTATGATTGACAATATGGAACTGTTGCTCCACGTCCAACAGGACTCACTTACAGCATGAACGCTAACAAGCCTCTCACTGATTGTGCAGTGATTGTGCAGTGAGAGGGCAACCGAAGGGACAAAGAAAGTCAAAGCTGAATCTGTTTAAACTTCAAGTGCACAAGATGTGAAGTCCGCAGGTCTGGTCTTTGCTCTGAGAGGACAGCAGTGATGGAATTTCTGAACAGTGGAGTCATAAAATCAAAAGGGTTCAGTCTCTGTGGAGCGCATTCTTTGAGTTCATGGAAATATTCCCATGAGAACTGGATGTTTTATTTAAATATATATATTAAAATGGAAATCTAGTCTTAACCTCAAGGAGATTTTTCTATTGAAACTATTCAAAACACAGCATCTCATGGTGGGAGAAGGAACAAGAGCTTTTTCTGAGGTAAAAGCATCAACACTGCTCACCTCAGAACCTCAAAGTCCAGAAGTATGAGCAGCAAGATGTAATTTTATTATACAATGATAAATAATCAAAGCATCCCCATTCAGGATTACATATTTATCATAATGTGTACATTACTGGAAGATGA